GTCTTTAAAAATATAGGTCTAGCCCTGTATGCCCCATACGCCTAAAGGTGTGTAAAAGGGACCTTAACTTACACATGCAACTTTATTATTTGAAGTCTAAGAAGTAAATGAAATAGGTATTTTTAACTTTTCTGAGACTAATAGATATGATATTTTATCAATATTGATTATTCAAAGTACAATTTAATCAAATTCAGTGGTCAACAATTCTCTGGAAATCCAGCAGCTAGTATAAAATACATTTCACTCTTTACTATGCTTATCTGTGCATTCTATTCTTTTCCATCTTTCACAACAGTGCATTATATTCAGTGGAGCAGAAACAACAGGCCTGTTCTGACACAATCAACAATGGATTTATATTGCCTCTGATGCTTTTGATACTGGATAAAGCCATTGTTACATTGAAATGTTGTACTAGACCAGAACGGTAACTGAGTTCCTGACATTAAATTTTTTTTCATTATTGTTGTTTTGTCTATAGTTTTTTATTTTAATGAGGTCTTTTTCTTTTCTTTCTCTTCATTTTTTTTAACACTTTGTGATATTTTTGGTTAGTAAAAGGAATTTCATGTTTTTTTAACACTTGTTCATCAACACTGTCCCTTGATAGTGAAATTTTGTGAAAAGTTATACAATGTTCTGTGTTTCAGATCATAATTTTTGTGAAAAGTTATACAATGTTCTGTGTTTAAGATCGTAATTTTTGTGAAAAGTTATACAATGTTCTGTGTTTCAGATCATAATTTTTTGTGCAAAGTTATACAAGGTTCTGTGTTTCAGATCGTAATATTTGTGAAAAGTTATACATTGTTCTGTGTTTCAGATCGTAACTTTTGTGAAAAGTTATACAATGTTCTGTGTTTCAGATCGTAATATTTGTGAAAAGCTATACAATGTTCTGTGTTTCAGATCAAAATTTTTGTGTAAAGTTATATAATATTCTGTGTTTTAGATCGTAATATTTGTGAAAAGTTATACAATATTCTGTGTTTCAGATCGTAATTTTTGTGAAAAGTTATACAATATTCTGTGTTTCAGATCATAATTTTTGTGAAAAGTTATACAAGGTTCTGTGTTTCAGATCATAATATTTGTGAAAAGTTATACAATATTCTGTGTTTCAGATCGTAATTTTTGTGAAAAGTTATACAATATTCTGTGTTTCAGATCGTAATATTTGTGAAAAGTTATACAATATTCTGTGTTTCAGATCGTAATTTTTGTGAAAAGTTATACAATGTTCTGTGTTTCAGATCGTAATTTTTGGCAGACTTTGAATAAGCATAAATGTGTAGATGAGAAATTACTGTGTTTGCCTCAGATTCAGAATTTAAAGGATTTCAAAGTAAGCTCTCTAGTAAACATATGATTATATATGCATCATCACCATCCTCCTCCTCATCAATTTCTACTTATGCTGTTAAGCATCATGGAAAGTAACAACTTGCAATCTATTGCTTGATGGGCAGCAATGCCTATTGTCATTCCATGTCACTGTAGAAGCTCTTTAATGTCATCAGTCCATGTTCTCATGGGGCGACCTTTTGCTTTCACATCAGATCTTTTCTTGTGAAGCACCTGAATCAGTAGTTGCTCTAAATGCATACTTACTAGATGACCAAACCATTTTATCTTCTGTTTCTCAGAGAATTTGCTGCATGATGTTGTACCCACAGTCTGTCTAATAATACATTTTCTAGCTTTGTCATGGATGGTAAGCAGGCTGATTTTCTCAGGTATCTCATTTTACAGGTGTTAATTTTACATAGGATAGCCTTTGATAATGTCCATCTGGCACTGGTAGCACAGTATGGGTATCAGTATGCTGTTTACAGTTTGTTTCTTATTGTTCCTACTCATGTTTGGATGTCTTAATAATAGTGTCAGCTGGTATTTGAGTGCACTGGCTCATTCGCATCTTGTTTCCATTTCTAGGTATATTCTCCTGTCCTCCAAGAATAAACTTTCTAGATGTTTAAATTCTTCAACTTGCTCCATACAAGTACCATTCAACCCGATATGTAGCTGAATAGGAATTCCACTAACGTGCACCACTTCAGTTACAGTCATTTTACTTTCATGTGATATCTTCTGCATGTTGAACTTAGCCTGTTCAAATGGTCTTGCAGTCTAATCTTCTCATTATAGAACAGAATGAGACTGGAGAAAACAAAACCATTCACATCATTGACAAAGACATAGAAATCATACACACATACATCTATCTACATTCTATTCATGTCAGTGTTGATATATGAGGCATTCATAAGTGAGTGTTCCTTTTCTTGATTGTTTTTCTACCTCAGGTGTGTGTTTATGTGTTGTGTGTGTGTGTGTTGTGTGTGTGTGTGTGTGTGTGTGTGTATTTATCCATCCATGCTTTTGTATTTTTAATTTACATTCATACTATGAATTTTGATGTATGAAATAATATGCTTGATATATAAAATACAACTGAAAGAAAAGTGTTTGAAATAGCCGAGTGTAAGATGGGCCTGCATGCCACTTTGTGACCCTTTGGAAATTAAGTTTGTTAATTCATTTCATTGCTGCCAGTCAGTCTGCTGCTTTCCTGCTGATTGTAACCCATGTCATTTGCATTTCTTCATTTCATTTTTCTACTGTCTTTCACCAGGTTCACTTAGGTTGTCCACTTCTATTTTTGTATATCTGCTGTCCATCAGAGAGCTATCTTTGCCAAAGTGTCATGAGGCATACTGCAAACATGTCCAAGCCATCCTTATCCTCTTACTTTGATAACATGTACACATGTACACGTGGGCCCCTGTGGCTTAGGTGTGGCAATTACACTTTTTAATGCTATAGTGCTGAATTTGATCGCAGCTGCAGGATATCTGGCAGCAGACTGTCTTGCACTGGTTTAAACAGTGATACCGAAAGTCGACCATTCAAAAAGCAATGGCACACTACTGAGCATAATTTGCAGAGAAAAACTACAACAGCTAAAAATGGTAGGGTTGGTTCGCAATGTCCTGTAAAGGATATGCAATTAACTGTACATGTTTCTATATCTATGCCAAGGGTTCCCATATCCTGTTTACAGCCATATTTGGATTCTTCCAGTTGGCCTTTTTCCTATTGCTAGTTCTCCATTAAAGAGAAATTGTGAAATATGTCCATCCTCTATATATATAAAATATATGCAATCTAACTTTGTCAGTTGATTTAACAGAAGGTCTTATCAGGAGCTATACAGTGCCTATCCTGGTTTACAGAAGTGCAATATGGACAGTCAGCCAGTTAGTTACAAATGTATGTGAACTTTGGTCCATCTGTAGATATTCACTTCTCAAAGTGATGTTCTTCACTTTCCTGATGCTCTGACTGTAGAACTTGTCCCTCCTCTTTATGTCTTTTCCTAAAGATCACATCAAGAGAATCTCAGCACTCTGCACAGTTTTTGTAGCAGAAAACAAAAATAGACTCATTGCCTCCCTAACAAACAAGTAGACTAATTAGGGGTGTTTCCTTCAAAGTCAGGGTGCATCTGCCTGAGAGGCTAAGAACCAACAGTCTGCATACAAATAAGTCAAATCTGTAAAATGGATGGGCATGCACCACTCAAGTTAATTTTGTACATTACTATCAAACTTTTTTTTATATTTTGAAAAATACTTCATAAATGACTCTTCTTTTGCAGGGAGCATGATTACTCAATGGTAAATGTGTGGCTCTGTGCTGCTGTAGGTGTTATATGCCAGAACAATGATAAAAATTGGTAGCTTCATTTGTTACCAAGTATTCTGAGCTTTGACAACTGTCAGTACCTGCAGGCGCAAGAAATCTTAAAAGCGGAAAGTCATAAAATCTGAAAGCACAAAATCTGAAAGGCAAGAAATATGTAAATGTTTAGGTTACCTATCAGCTTTATCTTGTATATCTTAGTTGTATGTTTATCGATGTAGAGACTTCTCATGTATGTTTTGTGTGCTCAACAAAATAGGGTATCATTAGGGTATCATATACAAGCTGAAAATGGATTATTTTCATTGTAAACAATAATTTTATAAAAGTTGGTAAAAATGTAAGTTTTTTCTATGGCAGGAATGGCTTTGTGAAAAATGACAAAACAAAAGTATAATTTTTAAAAGTTACAAAGAAAGAATAAACATGTATACAAGTAAGATTGTATTTGATAAAGATATAAAATATTTCAGTACTATCTTTTATCCTTTTTTTGTTACTATATTTCTTGATCTTTGATATGAAGATGGCATTTATAATGATAGGTACTAAAAAAATATTTTTTCAGAATTAATTTCTTGCCCCTCCACCTTTCTACAATGGCTCTTCTTAGTAAGATTTCCTAATACAGGTACCTCACTATTTGCAAAATGACTGTTTTTAGAACAGTCCTCTCTCTCCATTTATAAAATTACTGGTGTTTTTCAGAAAATATATACTTTAAAAGTTTTGTTTCACAAATGTGAAACTACAGTTAGCTGGCAGAGACTGCAAATAATTGTCTGTGTGTGGAACATGCACTTGTGATGCCATGCCTACTGATTGCAGAACTTTTCATGAAGATACACACTTTTTTTCCACTCCAACACCATCTGAAAACAGTACTAATATATTTGACATCAATAAATACTGAATGAGAAAAACCAACGAAAAGATGTCTATAACTGAAAGGATGTAGGTACAATTATGAAGAGACTTCAGTTATTGATTGGTAAGCCATAAGGTTTGGTGCTGCATTATAATGACTTACTAGGGAATACATCATTTTCTAAACTATCCATATAGCACAGAGCAGTTCTGCAGCTAATATATAATGCTGCAAAGAAGAAATAGTTGGGGGAGTGGTAACAGAATGACTGGGCAAGCTCTTTTGTATTTGAGATGTTATCGTATTTAAAAAATGAGACAGCATTGAGTTTATATCTCAAGCAGCAAGAGAAATTGATCTACAGGAGAGCAAATTGCACTGCTATTATCATTGTGTGGCAGGGGAGGGAAGATGTAATAGTTACACAAGTATATAAGTGCTTTTTAAGTACTGGTTGTCTTGTATGCATCCTGGATTGAGCACTGAAGAAATCATAGAAACAGCAAATCGCTGTTCCTCTTCGACTAACTTAATAATAGGAATTAAGGAAGCTTTCAATTTATTAAGAAAAAATATGTCTACAGTCAAAGGAAAAGATTTCTTTGATGTCTTTGCTTAAATCTGGGGTTTAACAAAAGTCTTGGGAACAGAACAAGAATAATTGGTGTTATTATTGAAATGATAAGTAAGTATTGATTAATTCAGCATCTCTAATTCATTTGTTTTTGCAGAAACGTTATAGTATTAACTTTGAAAAGAATAATGGTTTGTGAAATAACTGAAGTTTAGTCTTGTAGCTAATTGTTTCCTGGCCAGTGGTGCTTTATTGAGCTAACATTTGGCATTCTCTGTGTTAGGAGCGACCTACTCGTCACATGCGTACTTCCACTTGACTGTTCAAGTAATCTATAAACTAGAAACATCTAGATAGCATTAATAGATGTGGTTAGGCATGCTTACTTTACAAAACCCTTGGGTTTTTAAATGTCAGTGTTCTTAATAACTGCCATTGACATCATACATTTGATGTCATACATCACGTGAAAATACGAGTGGGATATTAACTAGGAAAATATTTAAACACCGGTACTCTTGACATTTTTAAGGGATTTTTTTTTTCTGTGGCACTTCCCCCAGTTTAAAAAAAAAAATCTACAATTGGGATATTTCCTTGACTTCAAAAATTGTTTTTGACAATGTGAAGTTTATGGGTGGGGTGGTGGGGAAAGGGGGGGGGGGGGGTTGTTAAACTGTATCACCTTCAGGAAATGGATCAAGGACAGGTAGTGCCATCTGTGTCACATGATTTTTACAGAATTTCTCCTTTATGTAGAGCTACATTTATCAAAAGTGATAGTTCTGGTCCAATGCCATGAATCTGTCCTTGTTAATTTCTCCTCATTCTGTTGTTTATCATCACTGAGTACTTTTTGGTTTCAATTGTGTTGATGTCTGTGTGGTTATGGCTATTTTTTATTCATTTAATGATCAGTGATGGTGGTTTTGACTGAATCTACAGATCTTTTGTTAAGTCTTTACTTTGTACTTCACCTTAGTGCTGTTAATCGTTAGTTTATTTTTAAAAAAAATGTAAATGCCTTATTTATGGCTATTTCCAGTTCATTCATTCATTATTAATGATTTTTAGTGATGATTTTGACTGAATCTACGGATCTAACATAACGGTTTTACTTTGCACTTCACATAATTACCACATATGATCTATATGTTGGGGAATCTGAGCATCTGTGAAGGCCCTATTTTGTACTTCACATTATTGCCATATATGGTTGGTGTATATGTTGGGGGGGGGGGGGGCGAAGGAGAGGGGGTATCTGAGCAACTATAGATGTGTCCAGAGTGTTGTGAAGATAATCCTACTTGTAACTTTATTGCTATTAATCATTAACCATTATGCTGTATTATTTTAATGTAAATTTTCTTGATTATGGTTTCTTCTGGTGTGTTCATTATCATAAATTATCAGTATTGTTGGTTTTCATTGAATCCACAGCTCTGTCATGGATTCTTTACTTTGTACTTTATTTTATCATTAACAATTATATAATATTATTTTAATGTACTCTGCCTTGGTTATGGCTGTTACCAGTTCATTCATTATTCATAATGATCAGTTGTGATCAATCAGACTTTCCTTTAGGCATTACGTTTTACCTTAATGTTTTGCTGTTAGTCATTAATTGTTACGCAATTTAATTTTAACACAAACTCGCTTCGTTTGGCTTATCCCAGCTCATTCGCTGAAAATTGGGTGGTGGTTTTGGTTGAATCTTTGTTGGCTGCACTAACTACTCATGGCTGTTGTGGTCTGGAAGACTAGTGATTTAGTTGTTTTGCAACTGATCAACAATAAATCACAATCTTCTAGGATTACGACAGTTGATTAACATCACATCGGCTTGGTGCATGCAGTTACATTGTTGAGACATTGTTTGCATATTTCACTTCCTGTGTTGTTTTTAGATAGTGTCTGCATATTTGATTTCCGTTTTCTGGGTGTGGACATTGTATATTTCACTCTCCTCTGTTGTTTGTAGATATTGTCTGTATATTTAACTTGCTGGTGTTCTGGTTGTGGACATTGTATATTTTACTTGCCTGTATTCTAGTTGTGGACATTGTATATATCACTCTGCCTGTGTTCCGGTTGTGGACATTGTCTGTATATTTCACTAGCTATTTTCTTTTTGTGGACATTGTATATTTCATCTACCTGTGTTATGGTTGTGGACATTTTCTGTATATTTCACTAGCTATTTTCTGTTTGTGGACATTGTATATTTCATCTGCCTGTGTTATGGTTGTGGACATTGTCTGTATATTTTACTTGCCTGTGCTCTGGTTGTGGACATTGTATATTTCATCTACCTGTGTTCTGGTTGTGGACATTGTATATTTCATCTGCCTGTGTTCTGGTTGTGGACATTGTATATTTCATCTACCTGTGTTCTGGTTGTGGACATTGTATATTTCATCTACCTGTGTTCTGGTTGTGGACATTGTATATTTCATCTACCTGTGTTCTGGTTGTGGACATTGTATATTTCATCTACCTGTATTCTGGTTGTGGACATTGTATATTTCATCTACCTGTGTTCTGGTTGTGGACATTGTATATTTCATCTACCTGTGTTCTGGTTGTGGACATTGTATATTTCATCTATCTGTGTTCTGGTTGTGGACATTGTATATTTCAATCTCCTGTGTTCTGGTTGTGGACATTGTCTGTATATTTTACTCTCCTGTGTTCTGGTTGTGGACATTGTCTGTATATTTTACTCTCCTGTGTTCTGGTTGTGGACATTGTCTGTATATTTTACTCTCCTGTGTTCTGGTTGTGGACATTGTCTGTATATTTCACTCTCCTGTGTTCTAGTTGTGGACATTGTCTGTATATTTTACTCTCCTGTGTTCTGGTTGTGGACATTGTATATTTCAATCTCCTGTGTTCTGGTTGTGGACATTGTCTGTATATTTCACTCTTCTGTGTTCTGGTTGTGGACATTGTCTGTATATTTCACTCTCCTGTGTTCTGGTTGTGGACATTGTCTGTATATTTCACTCCCCTGTGTTCTGGTTGTTCTGTCTTGCTCACATATGCAACTGCCTGCTTATTAAAGCGGAATGGTTCACTCAGTTCTCAGTTTGTCACCCTTCCACCACTAGGAGGTACAGTTGGAAGTTGCCTTTTGTCATAGTGAGACCATGCTGACGTATTTAAAACTCTGATGCATTTTACGGGACAGTTATTTTGCCTTGTTTTCCAATTTGAGATATGTGTTCTGCATTGGAATCTTTCTGTCACTTCTTCTTCTTCAGCATTCAGAGCCCTTGCGGTTCATTGCTGCAGATATCACCCACCTCTATTCATCTCTCTGGTTTGCCTTCTATTTCTAGTTGGTGACACCAAGTGTTTGCAGGTCTGTCTGGATATTATCTCTCTATCATCTTCTTGGTCTGTCTCATAATCTATGACCATTCATCTCCCTCGTGTATACAGTTTTTACTTCTCTGTCATCTGACATTCTTTCAATATGCCCCAGCCATTTCAGTCTATTAGCTCTCAGATGCCAGTGATCAGTGGGATTTAAACAGATTATGAATTTCATTGTTGCTTCTCACTCTCCATTCACCACTGTTTGCATCTTTGATGTTCCAAAGATTTGTTGTAATACTCTGTTTTTAAAAACCTGTAATAAAGCCTCATCTCTTTTAGTTTTGCTCCAAGTTTCAGAGCCATATAACACGACTGGTCTTATCAACGTTTTATATTATTTGATCTTTTTCTGTTACTAACACTATCTAAAATTCAAGAATAACCTCATAAGGTACTTACATTTTTTTTTAAAAGTTGCTCTGTGCTCATTCATATTCAGCCAAATATGTGAATCAGAAATTATAATCCTCTTGTTCCATTATATGTCACATAGGGCTCACTGTCGATTCTTCCATTCTTTTCTATCCTGTACAACCCTATTAATATCATGTATAGAATCCAATCAGGCACCTCTGGCCTGTCTCCTCAAAACTCATGGGATTTTCTCACTTTCTCAGTCCATGTGTTTCCCATTCTAATACCTATTTTGTGATTATTCTCCATTCAACATATAAAATTACAAAGCCTGAAGGCTATTGTCTTAGCCAGTGCGATTCTGCAACACCTATAGATGATCATGGTTTGATTTGATTTTTTAAAAATTAGTGCATGCTTTTAAGAACATTTGTTAAATTACTCACTGAACTGTATTTCTTGTTTTCTTAAAAGGTGGCAAGAAACTCCAAAGATTAGACTACCGAGCAAGTACAGACCAGACAAGTGGAATCAATCAATTATTGACTACAATAAATTATGCATGGCCAGATTGTCAAGACCACTGTGTTGTTTACTTTACTGACTTTTAAAGTTTTTTCTTAACTGTTAAAACAGGCTGATATAGAAAGTGACAGAAAAAAAAACAGTTTTTTTTTTTTTTAAATTTCTACTTAATTAACCCTGTGGCCACTTAATTCTAATTTCAAAAAATCTAAAAACTTTGGGGTTGTACTGACACTTGAATCCTTTCACCCGTGAATTTGAATAAAATTAACTTGGGAATTCACTTCTCCCCCCCCCCCCCCCTTTTTTTTTTCTCCAAATGATCCACACAAAAAAAACATATGTTGACTCACACCATGACCACATCACTATATGACTACCAGATAAACTATTACATCATTATGCATCATAAGGACTAAGGAAGCCATTTTTAAACACCGCCTACATTTCCTCCCTAATGCAATTTTAAAATAAATATAACCATACTCTGTCCTTTTAAAGACTGCACAGGCCCGTCTCTCTAGCGTAGTTGGCTAAACCGGATTGCGCGGTGAGGGGGTGACGAACTCCTTGTGGTCCAGGTTCACTTCCGGGGGTAGGCAGAACAGCCACATTTTCTCCCAGATTTATGGTATTTACAGTGGAATCAAGGCCAAAAGGTTGCGATATCCATAATACCGAGCCTAAGGGTTATCATGGCTTCTGGATACTAAAACAAACAAACAAACAAAGACTGCACAGGGAAAAACAGAACAAACGCCATTACCTAGGCTGGTT